GGGGGGGGGGAGAGGGTATTCTCAGAATAGGGGGGCTGTGGAGGGGGGGGGGAGAGAAGGTATTCTCAGAATAGGGGGCTTGGGAGGGGGGGGGAGAAGGGTATTCTCAGAATAGGGGGCTGTGGGGGGGGGGGAGAAGGGTATTCTCAGAATAGGGGGCTGTGGGGGGGGGGGAGAAGGGTATTCTCAGAATAGGGGCTGTGGGAGGGGGGGGAGAGAAGGGTATTCTCAGATATGGCTGTGGGAGGGGGGGGGGAGAGGGTATTCTGTGGGAGGGGGGGGGGAGAAGGGTATTCTCAGAATAGGGGGCTGTGGAGGGGGGGGAGAGAAGGGTATTCTCAGAATAGGGGCTGTGGAGGGGGGGGAGAGAAGGGTATTCTCAGAATAGGGGCTGGGAGGGGGAGAGAAGGTATTCTCAGAATAAGGGGCTGTGCAGGGGGGCGGGAGGGAGAGAAGGGTATTCTCAGAATAGGGGCTGTGGGGGGGGGGAGAGAAGGTATTCTCAGAATAGGGGGCTGTGGGAGGGGGGAGAAGGGAAATGGTGGGAGGGGGGAGAGAAGGGTATTCTCAGAAAGGGGGCTGTGGAGGGGGGGGAGAGAAGGGGGCTGGAGGGGGGGAGAAGGGTATTCTCAGAATAGGGCTGTGGGGGGGGAGAGAAGGGTATTCTCAGAATAGGGGGCTGTGGGAGGGGGGGGGAGAGAAGGGTATTCTCAGAATAGGGGGCTGGAGGGGGGGAGAGAAGGGTATTTCAGAATAGGGGCTGTGGGGGGAGAGAAGGGTATTCTCAGAATAGGGGCTGTGGGAGGGGGGGGAGAAGGGTATTCTCAGAATAGGGGGCTGTGGGAGGGGGGGGGGAGAAGGGTATTCTCAGAATAGGGGCTGTGGGAGGGGGGAGAGAAGGGTATTCTCAGAATAGGGGGCTGTGGGAGGGGGGAGAAGGGTATTCTCAGAATAGGGGGCTGTGGAGGGGGGGGAGAGAAGGGTATTCTCAGAATAGGGGGCTGTGGGGAGAGAAGGGTATTCTCAGAATAGGGGCTGTGGGAGGGGGGGAGAGAAGGGTATTCTCAGAATAGGGGCTGTGGAGGGGGGGAGAGAAGGGTATTCTCAGGGGGCTGTGGGGGGGGGAGAGAAGGGTATTCTCAGAATAGGGCTGTGGGAGGGGGGGGAGAGAAGGGTATTCTCAGAATAGGGCTGTGGGAGGGGGGAGAGAAGGGTATTCTCAGAATAGGGGCTGTGGGAGGGGGGGAGAGAAGGGTAGAATAGGGGGCTGGGGAGGGGGAGAGAAGGGTATTCTCAGGGGGCAGAAGGGTATTCTCAGAATAGGGGGCTGTGGGGGGGGGAGAAGGGGGGCTGTGAGGGGGGGAGAAGGGTATTCTCAGAATAGGGGGCTGTGAGGGGGGGGAGAGAAAGTATTCTCAGAATAGGGGCGGGCGGGCGGGGGGAGAGAAGGGAGAATAGGGGCTGTGAGAAGGGTATTCTCAGAAGGGGCTGTGGAGGGGGGGAGAGGGTATTCTCAGAATAGGGGGCTGTGGGGGGAGAGAAGGTATTCTCAGAAATAGGGGGCTGTGGGAGGGGGGGGAGAAGGGTATTCTCAGAATAGGGCTGTGAGGGGGGGGGAGAAGGGTATTCTCAGAATAGGGGGCTGTGGAGGGGAGGGAGAGAAGGTATTCTCAGAATAGGGGCTGTGGGAGGGGGAGAGAAGGTATTCTCAGGATAGGGGGTGTGGAGGGGGGGGAGAGAAGGTATTCTCAGAATAGGGGCTGTGGGTATTCTCAGGGGGGGAGAGAAGGGTATTCTCAGAATAGGGGCTGTGGTGGTATCTCAGAATAGGGGCTGTGGGGGGGAGAGAAGGGTATTCTCAGAATAGGGGGCTGTGGGAGGGGGGGAGAAGGGTATTCTCAGAATAGGGGGCTGTGGAGGGAGGGGGGGAGGAGAAGGGTATTCTCAGAATAGGGGCTGTGGGAGGGGGGGAGAGAAGGGGGCTGTGGAGGGGGGGAGAAGGGAGGGGCTGTGGAGGGGGGGAGGGTATTCTCAGAATAGGGGCTGTGGGAGGGGGGGAGAGAAGGGTATTCTCAGAATAGGGGGCTGTGGAGGGGGGGGAGAGAAGGGTATTCTCAGAATAGGGGGCTGTGGGAGGGGGGGAGAGAAGGGTATTCTCAGAATGGGGGCTGTGGGAGGGGGGGGGAGAGAGAAGGTATTCTCAGAATAGGGGGCTGTGGGAGGGGGGGGAGAGAAGGGTATTCTCAGAATAGGGGGCTGTGAGGAGGGGGAGGAGAAGGGTTCTCAGAATAGGGGCTGTAGGAGGGGGGGAGAGAAGGGTATTCTCAGAATAGGGGCTGTGGAGGGGGGGGAAGAAGGGTATTCTCAGAATAGGGGGCTGTGGGGGGAGAGAAGGTATTCTCAGAATAGGGGCTGTGGGAGGAGGAGGGGGGGGATCACAAGGAATCGATCCCACTTGGCTGGACCAAAGAGAGTACCCGGAAGGTTTGCAGAGGTAGAGGTAGAAGAAGGACGAGGGCGAGAGAAAGATGGGGTGGTGTGGAGTGGAGTAGTTCTACGAAGGGGGGGAGTGGGGGGGAAGGGAAGAAAGGGTCGACACTGAAGAAGACGGTGCAGTAGAAGATGGAGAGGAGTGTGTGTAGGGAGAGAGGAAAGGTGCATTCAGTTCTCCGGCACATCATGGTGGTCAAAGGTCTTATTAATTAACAGCCAGTGTTTAAATCTCTATGGATGTCCGTTGTGGAATTAGGACGAACCGAAACTTGTTATTATCCTCATTATTATAATTATTACTATTATTATTGTTAATGCTATCGTTACTATCATTATCATCATCATTATTATTATTATTATCATTCTTATTATCATCATTATATTATTAATTATTATTATTATTATATTATCATTATTATATTATTATTATTATTATATTATTATTATTATTATTATTATTATTATTATTATTATCATTATTATTATTATTATTATTCATTATTATTCATCATTATCATTATTATCATCATCACCATCATCATCATGATTATGATTATTATTTCTACTATTATTACCAATACCATCGTTTCTATGCAAATTACATGCATAGGAATGGGTCACGAGAGAAGAATAGATTTAGTGAAAGATCTTTAAAATGCCTCCGACGGACTTATAACCTCAGATACTGAAGAGATCAGGGTGTTTCTGAACTAAATCTTACACTGGAATGAGTAAATAGGAAAGACTGTGATAAGTGATAAGTACTTTGATCTGTAATAAATACGTTAATAGATAATGAGTATCTTAATGAATCTATTTGTGTGTGTTTTTTTTGTGTGTGTCTGTTTGTTTTAAACATATTTTACTTCGTATTGTACCTTATACGTTGAATTGAATTGAATAATTATTCATCACCATCATCATCATCATTATGACTAACATATTCATCATCATGTTATTACTATTGATGATATTATTGCTATCATTATCATAATTATCATCATAATCATAGTTATTATTATTATTATTATTATTATTATTATTATTATTATTATTATTATTATTATTATTATTATTATTATTATTATTATTATTATTATTATTATCATTATTATTATTATTACATTATTATTATCATCATCATCATCATCATTATCATCATCATCATCATCATCATCATCATCATCATCATCATTATTATTATTATTTATTATCATTATATTGTTGTAGTTGTTCTTATTGTTTTTACCATTATTAGTATTACCATTGTTATTACCGTTATCATCATTCTTATTCTTAATACCATTATCATCATCATTGTCATCATAATCATTACCATTATTGTCATTATTATCCTAATCATTATCATCATCAATATCTTTATCCTTATTATTGTTATCATTATTATCATTATCATAATTATCATTATCATTAGTAGTAGCAGCACTATCATTATCGTAATTATTCTTATTCTTCTTATTATTAATTATTATTAATTATTCTTATTATTTCTCATCTTTATTATTATCATTGTTATTTATTTTTCGTCTTAATTATTTTCATTATCTTTTGTTATTGTTATTGTTATCCTTATCACTGATTGCGCTTTTCCTAATATCAGTGTAATCTTTATTGTTTGTGTCATTATTACTGTAAATATTTCATTGTTATCGTTATTATCATTATTATTACCATTGTCACTGTTATTATCTTTATCATCATCATTATTATTATAATTTTTTGTGGTCATTATTGTTATTATTATTATCATTGTTATAATTATTATATTATCATTATATTATATTATTATTATTATATTATTATTATCATTATTGTTATTGTTATTATTGTTATTATTATTATATTTATTATATTATTATTAATTATTATTATTATTATTATTATTATTATTATTATTATTTATTATTATTATTATTATTATATCATTATTGTTATTTATTATATATTATATTATTATTATCATTATTATTATTATTATATTATTATTATTTATATTATCATTATCATTATCATTATCATTATCATTCATCATCATCATTTATCATTTTAACTTTTAATTATCTACCGTTATTATCGATTGTAGGTCTGCCTCCTCTAAATATTACTTTTATTTCTTTTCAAGTCATTTTATCATTCGTGTCATCTTGTTTGTCTTTCGTATTTCTATTCGCACTTTTATTTTTTCTATTTTTAATCTTTATAAGTAAATAAATTGCATTCGTAATCGCACAGCCAACACTTTTATTTCAAATTATATCTCCACAGTTCGGTGTCGATTTAAGTTTTCTGAACAACACGAATTTTCTTGTCTGTTTTTAGAAGACAATTCCGTGAGTAAAATATATTTAAAAAAAAGAAAAGTAGAGAAAAATTCCAGCAGCGATTCTGTGCACCGGCCTGCTAGGGAGGCCATGACGTCACCTATGACGTCAAAAACCTGCCCTGAGACCTCTTCCTGAGCCTCATGATCCCCAGTGTGCTCCGTT